ACCGGGCACCGCCCCCCACACACCACACGCGCCCCCCCCTACCCGTCCCCCAACTACCACGAACCGCGACACTCCCCACCCACAAAGGCCCAGGCACCCGCCCGGCACCGACGACCACCCCCCAACGGCCCACCCCCCGACCCCAAACCACGAGGGCCACACGCAGCCCACCGATCCCCAGGACCAAGACACGCCCACACAACGTCACGCCCCCCCCCCCGCACCCCACATAAACAACACCCCACCCCACCCCGCCCAACCCCACCGCCAGCCGCAACACCCACCGCACCAAACAACGGACCCACGCGCCCCGACAACCCCCCCCCCCACCGCTCCGGCCCGCCTCCCCCCCCCGCAACGCACCCACACCACCCCCAAATGCCCCACCCAGCACGCACACCCCCCCCAACACCCGCCGCCCCCCCCCCACGACCCCCCACATCCCAGCACGCACGACCCCCAAGCCGCACCACCCGCCCCCGCCCCACACACCACCCAGCCGAACCCCACCGCCCAGGCCCACCGCCGCCCCCACACGGCCACCCACTCACCCCCCCAGCCACCCACCACCCCCCCACCCCCCCCCCGCCAACAAAACCCCACACCCCACCCCCACCCGCCTGAAACAAGGCCCCCAAACCAAAAGCCCCCACCCACCGCCGCCCCCCAGCCCACTCAACCCCCAAACCCCGCGCACACACAGCCCACCCCCCCCCCCCCCACTCCCCCCCCCCGCCAAAGACGCCCACGCCCTGTAATCGTACCACCACCCAACCCAACAAACCCCAACCCCCACCCCCACACCCCCCGCCCCCGCCGACCACCCCCCCACCCCCCCCCCCCCCCGCGACACGCACACACCCCCCACCCCCACCCCCCACACCCCGCACCAACCAACCCCGCCCCCTCCCCCCCCACCCACGGCCGCCCCCCATACACCACCCCCCCCACCCCCCACCCGAGCCACCCCCCCCCCCCCCCCCAAACCCACAACAACCCTACCCAACCCCCCCCTCGACACCCCCCCGTCCACGCGCCACACCCACACCCCACGCCGCACAGGACCCGACCACCCCGTGACACAAACCCCGCCTCCCCGCCACCAAGAACCCCGCCCCCCCGGCCAGGCTCCACACCCCACAGCGACCACCCCGGCCCCCCCGCCCCCCCCCCCCACCGCCCCGAGACCCCCCCAACTCACACGCCCCCACCCCCCCACCCCCAAGCCCCACCCCCCGCCGACAACCGCCAACCCCCCCCCCCCCCCCCCCCCCCGACCACCCCCCAAAAAGCCCCAAGACCATACTCCAACCCCAGACCCAAAGGGTTAGCTTTTTTTCTATGTATAAGATTTCCGACTGATTTGCCAAGTAAGAACACGGTCTGTCTTATTCTCACAAAAGATATATCACAGAAAGAAAGCCCCTAACCCACTCCTGCATGTAAAACAACTTGACGTGAATGGCAATTTTACTATTTGTCCTGCATTGGATTAGGGCACTATTATCCCAATGGAAACAGGAATACCCCAGTCACCCCCACTACTCTATTGTCAGAAAAATTTCCTTTTTAACGTGATATGATAGAAAATCTTCATTTTACAGCTGAAGGGAACTCAAGTATAAGCACCATATGCAAGAAATTCGAGATACGAGGAAAGAAAAAAACCCCTCTAAATGAGCATAACTTGAGTAACGACAAGTTGTTGGTAGTGTGGCGGATTTCGATCCCACCGGTGAATCCCTTGTCAGATTACCAGGTTCTTTGATTACCCCCCCCAAGGAATTGCTTATTACATTTATGAAAAATAATACGATGCCTCCAAGAAGAATCGGTCTCGATGTACGCAAAGAAAAACATGGACCAGTCGTGAAATTAAGAAAGAATCCTGATAAAACCAGGTGTAAGAATGATGGAATGGTGAAGATTATGGCCCGACATTGACAATCGCAACTATTCTGAAGAAAAAAGGAAGAAATTAAGAAACTTGATGTAGGCCAAAGGAGTTACCGTTACTTCCAAGCACCATCCAAAACTCCAAGAAACTGTTGAGATGCTGTTGTAGGTGTGGATTAACGAGAAGCAGTTAAAAGGTCGGCGTCGGAAAGCTATCATAAAGGTAAACTACGGTTAATATTATTTACCGGTACGTTATTTATCAAAAAATTTATTTTTATGTTGATATTTTTGGGGGTGGGAAATGGATTAACTGGATTTCTTATTATTTTCAATGGGGCAAGTTTGTGTTCTAGATACAAGAAATTCGCTATACGAGTTCAATGCTGGAACGAGTTAAACTCATATCTCGAGATTCCACTGTGTATTCATTGTGAAATTTGATAACTGGCTATGTCAAGTGTCTTTAAAAAAAAATCTGGAGACCTATCCTCTCATGACCTTATATTAATTATTACAGCAGATGTTATATAAAATATTTCAAGAACTCTTAGATAGTCTTACAGCGGTATTGATTTTAAAAAGCTACTTTACACTGGGATTTTAAAATGCACAAAATTCCAAAATCCATTGGTTAGTTGATGGATGTACAGTTTCTAGGAAAGCATAAGACACAGACAGTATTTTTCATTAAAACTTTAAATAAAGTATGAGCCAAACAGCTATCTATAATTGGGAATATTTTTTGTATCATCTCCAAGATTTATGAGAATCTGGAAAAGAGATTATTCCAATTATTACAGATCCAGATTTCAGACGTTTTATATAAATAAATGTAAATAAAGGAGAAAGTAATGAAGTTTTGGTTTTTGAGGTATTTATTAATTTCTAAGAAACCAGTTTAAAATAACAACTGAGATAGGGCAATGGGTTCAATTAAGAAAGACACACGAATGGAAAGAGAACCAAACTGTTTGAGAAAAACATAATAGCCAAATAAACAGAAGAAAACTGTACTTGATTAGTGGGTTCTCAAAAAATTAAGACAGTCATTAAAAGAATAGTACTACACCAAAATTCTCATTTTTATATAAACAAAACACATGCAGACCTTCAATTCTTTTGGGTAATTTCTGATTATCCACACCTCTAAAAATTTTGCAAATTCATTGGTGATTTGTAAACTGGTGAAAAATACTTAATTGGGTCACAGGCACAACAATTTTCCTATTTCTGAAGAAATTTTATGCTTTCTTTCTCATAAGCAAGTAAACTCCACAGTTTCCCTTGCAATTCATTAAGATCAATAACAAAATGTACATAGGAGATGGAAGAATCACCAATTTGCATAATGGCAGTTGCATATAAAGCATGTAAGTCTATGTGTACTCCAACACATGCATAAAATGAACATGTGGGGCTTGGCTATTCTCATGTGTACCATTAAAAATATGCCCAAAACATAGAAAGTCTATTAAATGCTGATAATCTGAAAATACCAATTTTTGTAGTATTAATTTTTTATCTTCCAAAATATACTGCATCTTTAGCAATATACATATATTTGACATTCTTTAGTTATGCATCTACTATGCATATTGGCCTTTTTTTAACTGTAAACTATTTCTAGTTGTAAGAACAATTTACAGACAGACACACACACAATACATAACAATAGCCCAGGTAGCACTATCCTAAAGTTCTCAATGTGTGTTTGAATTCTCTTTCACAACGGCCAAAAAGGATGTTAGGTGCATAACAGAAAAATACTTATTTTTTATTGTGTTTAGTAACCTATCAAAAGGAAAATCTAGATGTTAATTGCTGTGACAGTAGAAGCTGTGCTGGTTGCGAAACGAAGATATGTTGTGTAGTATGACAAGTCGAAATTTGCTATATAAGTTAAAACTCATGTTTAATAGAAGATATACTCATGATATGATCCTAGCGAAATAAAAGCATACTTAAATCTTTATATGGGTTCTGTTAATGAGAGAATGTAAACTTCTGTTAATGAATGAAAAAATGAGTAAATTATAGGTAAAATCCTAGTATATGGTGCAGTCTTGGCGAGGTTTTAAAAATTATCGCCAACACCAAAAATTACCAAAAGAACGTCTATGCATGTATAGTATACCGATACTATGTATAACTATATATATTCTTTGAATACCCGTTTACTACACCGGATACTAGGATTAAACCAAATTACAATCATTTTTCTTTGTCACTAATAACTCCTGTTCCGTCAAAGACATTCAGATGTCCCGGTTCTGTCTCGGAGAGATAGAATAGCCTAATCTAACATTTCTTCTAGTCATGAATTATGAAAAATTTTCGCAAACTGAAGTGATTTAGACTACCTGTAGAAAACTCTGTACCATATACTGCAAAACTATACACGGTTTAGTTCTTTTTATATGAAGACAAATTTAAATTCGCGAATAAGATTAAAATACACAAGGAACTTACAGCATTTGGTTTAGCGGCATCCACTGTATTTTCTTTAGATGCCATTTTATTAAAATAAAATCGGTAAGATGATAATAGCGTAAAAAATTCTATTCAAGAATAACTGCGGAAACACAACTTGTAAAAACTGGCAATAAATGTTTACAACAACGAATTTTACAGATAACTGAGTCCCTGATACCGGAAGTTTACCGAAAAATGTGTACTTTTTCCCATGATGCCTTTCGAAATCGCTGATGCAATGTAAGGTTACCAGAATAAATTTTAGAGCCAAGTGCATTGTTCAAAAGTAGCCAAGCTTTTGTTCAATCTGTCGTTGTTCGTAGTAGTATTGTTAATATTAGGTCGTTCGGCGTGTTGTAACGGGCTTGTAATTTTGAAGTTTTTATAACTTGTAATCGACTATGAAGGTTCTGATAACCGGTGATTCCATGATTAAATATATGTACCAATATTTACCGTCTCAGCTGTATGATAATAAACTGCATGCTCTCGCGTTTCCGGGCATAACAATAGAAAGGTTGACCAAAAAAATTTCATCCTTTAATGAATACGATTGTATCCTTTTTCATGTAGGGACCAATAATATGGATTCTACTGTGGATGACAGTGTTTTAAAATATAAAGTTTAATTCGGGAAGTGAGTAGAGTGAATCCGTATGCGCGGGTAGTCATATCAGGAATTTTGCCCAGAGTGGATTCGAAGTATTTAACTTATAATGAGAGAGACGAATTGCGACCTCGACTGCGCTCTGTCAACAACAAGAGTTCTCAGTTTGATGAAAAAATGATTGATCTCTGTGAAGAGCTGGATAATGTAACCTTCTGCATGTCATCTCGTGACTGGAGTGGATGCATGGCTCTGGATGGGCTGCATTTGAATGCAGCAGGAACACGGCAGTTAGCTACACTGTTTGTTCAAGTTTTGACGCAACTTTTAACTGAGAGTTCCAAAAGTACCAGTAAAATAGAGCTTCGAAGTTCATTGAATTTTCCTCCTCTCTGTGATGGCGGCAGCGATATTTTAACATCTTCAGCCTCTCCTCTGTATTCTGAAGTTGTTGCTGAATCAGCTCTGTCGAGGTATGTATATATATATATATATAATTTCTTTCCTTCTTCGAAATTCAAACACAAAGAAATATTTTACAGCAAGGCATTAAATATTTAAGCAATCTGTTTGTCAGCCAAGCTATGAATTTCTGAATCATACTAAGCAACTGTTGAACTATCAAAATCTTTATTCATTTTTCTTTTTAAAGTAATGAAATTTGACAAGTAAAATTCAAGTGCCTAAGAATACAAATTGTATATTGTTTTCTTGAAAAAACTTAATGCTTCCTTGATAAAGCAGCTATTGCACTTTAGTTGTGACAGCTGGAGAACGTAATCGCCCAGTCAATAACATTCAAATTTCTAATGTTCTCAAAGGCTTATGTAGTGGCTTCTTTAATGAGGAATTTTTATCTGTCATGGATCATTTCAGTGCAGAGGCAGATTACAGAACAAGAGGCCCAAGACTGAGTTCCTTATTTTATTATATATGTGCTTATTATTCTTCCCAACACTGTAAAATTCAAATTTTCTTTGTTGATGACACAACTATTCTCATGCAAGTTCAAACACTAGAAAAAAAAATCCATATTCAACTGCAAAATTATTTCTGTTTGTAGAAATATGGTTAGAGATACTCAGTGCAAAGTTCTGTTTCACACGCAAAAAAAGTTTAACTTGCTATCCATTCCCATGTTATTTCAAGGCTACAATGCAAGAAATCACATTTGCATGTAATCTACTTGATAATAAACACACTTTTAAATTTCACTTTGCCAAACTCTGAAATAAATTCTTTATTTCTGTGGCAAGCTTGAGATATTTTCTTGGAAAATAAGTAATTTTTCCATTCACAATAAAAAATTAGGCAAGTAAATTTTATTTGTCTTATATGTTCTGTTGGGATTACACAGGTGATAAACATCAATTTGTTTCAAACTGTAGCTGTTTAAAAGACATTAACCTTGTGACTACAGATCACTTTCATGCACAAAGAATTACAATCAGATAAATATTTGTGTGTGTTTATAATAAATCTTTTTAAAGTGCATCACTTTGAAATCAGTCCTTGTCCTATGATTCTAACATGCTGCAAATGACGCACATCTATTAAGATAACGGCAAATTTGAAAATGTGAATGATGAAGTACAGAGAATTTTTATATGTACATGTAGGATATTTTGGTACAAAAGAATCAGTCCTTTTGCCAGTCTTAATTTAATAAATGGCATTTTTGCTAGTGATTAGTATGTATTTCTTCTGGTTTCTGAAAATCTGAACGTCATAAATGGCTGAGTTTATTAACTATATGCATTATTGTTAGTGTTTATAGTATATATGTTATAAACTTACCAGCTGCTCATTTAATATTTGTTAAGAAAATAATACAGCCTACTAGGCAGTTAATCTTCTGATTGCTGAAAATATTGCCTAAAGTCACTGCAGAGGAGAGCATCTTCTAATGAATCATCACTGCTGAGGGAGAAAACGCATCCCCCCATGGCCTTAATTTTTGCATAGCTGTCAAACTTACCTCAGAAACTGTGTGGCTGTTCTATTTAATAAATTGCTTATGGAAAAATAGTATTTAAACAGTAACATATATAAGCTACAGAATAAAGGGAAAAAACAGCATACAGGATAGTTTACAGTGCATTTTACAGCTTGACTTTAGCTTTGATGCTCTAAAATTGTTTTTTTACAAAATAATGCAGAAAAGTGTAATCATAATTATTTTATTCCACAGGAAACTGCCATCACAGTTGAATGTGAAAGCTCCTTCAGAAACTGAACAGCAACTTCAAACAAGGTAGCTTTTTTATGCAAATGCATGAAGTACTACAGAATCTATAAATTTTTGTTCATGAACTCTTTGCTCTAAATTGATATTTATTATACTTCATTGCATATAAATTAATTTTTTTAACAGAGAATTTCACCAATGTTCATCTGTAGCTGTTACTCAAAAGAACCTAAAGGAAAATTCTGAATTGTCTTCTTTCTTGAGGTAAATGATAATTCATTAGTGGTGAATCGTAATCATTTGTACCCTATGCGGCATCCGTTTTTTCATAACAGTTATTCCTTTTTAGTAATTTTGAGATTTCATGAATTATTAAAGAATTGGTAAATTTCTTTTTGTGCAACGGTAAACAAGATATGTTTCCTCCTCCACCTTTCAGGAAATCTGCTCATCCAGATCCTAATGGTTGGATTCATGTAGGGCGAAAACGTTTCACTCAAAATATAGAACAGTGTTGTCAGTTGAGGTGAGATATTGTTTCTAACTTTCCAAGGACAATAAATTAGAGCTTTTATCAAGATTAATTTCTTAGGATGTGGATATGAAATTACTCATAAACATAATGCTTCTACGAGGGCTATCCAGAAAGTAGATTACGTTTTGGAATAAAAAAATAAACAAAGTATAGGAAACAAATTTTATTATATACAGATGAAAGCCACACTCAAATACTACTTTTCTACATAGTCACCATACAAATTAAGGCATTTATCGTAGCGATGTACGAGCTTGGAAATTCCTTCGTCGAAAAATTCGGCCGCCTGCGCCTTCAACCACTTCGTTACCTCTTCTTGCAGCTGTGCGTCGTCATCAAAACGCTGCATAGCCAGCCACTTCTTCATTGCTGGGAATAGGTGGAAGTCGCTCGGTGCCAGGTCGGGACTGTACGGCGGATGAGGAAACAACTCCCACTTAAAAGATTCAAGAACTTTACGAGTGACATTTGCCGTGTGGGGCCGGGCGTTGTCGTGAATCAACAAGATCTTAGAGCTCAACATTCCTCTGCGCTTGTTTTGAATTGCTCTTCTGAGTTTTTTGGAGAGTTTGCAATACCTTTGAGAGTTTATTGTCTCTTTCCAGGAAGTCCACCAAAATTACACCCTTTTCTGTCCCAAAAAACAGTCGCCATCATCTTCCTTGCCGACATTGTTTGCATGCATTTCTTGGGTTTTTGGGGAGAACTTGTGTGCCCCCACTGCATTGATTGCAATTTCGTTTCACAGTTCACATGTTTCACCCATGTTTTCGTCACCAGTAACGATGCGATCGAGTAAAGAGTCACCATCCTTATGGTAAGCGTCCAAAAAGTTCAACGCTGCAGCCATTCGCTGATTTTTGTGGTCCTCTGTCAAGATTTTTGGAATCCATCTTGCACAAAACTTGTGGTAACCAAGCTTTTCGCTGATGATTTCGTGCAACAAACTTCGCGAAATTTGTGGAAAACTCAAAGAAAGTTCCGTTATTGTGAAATTTCGATTTTCGATTTTTTCACGGACTTTAGCATCGACTTTTTCGAGAAGTTCGGCGGCCACTATGCTGGGTCTCCCACTTCGATCTTCGTCGTGAACATTGGTTCGGCCATTTTGAAATCTTATGACCCACTGACGCACTCCACCTTCAGTGATAATGTTGTCCCCATACACTTCACGAAGCTGCCGATAGATTTCTATCGGTTTACAGTTTTTTGCAGTCAGAAACCTTATTACTGAGCGCACCTCGCAGCTCGCGGGATTTTCAATTAACGCAGACATTTCAAACCGTCACAGTATCTGAACGGAGCACAGCACGAACCTCTCACTAGCACGGCTAGATGCAGACTGAGCTGCGCAACGCTCTGACCCCAAGATGGCCGCGCTAGCCCCGCCCCTAGCGGACACAGACGGAAACGTAATCTACTTCCTGGATGGCCCTCGTATCTCCCATAGGAAGCCTTGCCTGGTTTCACCAAAGAATGTAGCATCTTTGAACTGTAAAACGTATCCAAGGTAAATCATAAATTCTTGTATGTTTAATCAAACATTATTATTTATATTTTTGCAAGTCGTGTACATTTCATTAAATTATTATTCTTCATTTCATATAAATTAATTTTTTGAACAGAGAATTTCAACAGTGTTCATTTGCTGCTGTTACTCAAAAGAACCTAAAGGAAAATTCTGAATTGTCTTCTTTCTTGAGGTAAATGATAATTCATTAGTGGTGAATCGTAATCATTTGTACCCTATGCGGCATCCGTTTTTCATAACAGTTATTCCTTTTTAGTAATTTTGAGATTTCATGAATTATTAAAGAATTGGTAAATTTCTTTTTGTGCAACGGTAAACAAGATATGTTTCCTCCACCTTTCAGGAAATCTGCTCATCCAGATCCTAATGGTTGGATTCATGTAGGGCGAAAACGTTTCACTCAAAATATAGAACAGTGTTGTCAGTTGAGGTGAGATATTGTTTCTAACTTTCCAAGGACAATAAATTAGAGCTTTTATCAAGATTAATTTCTTAGGATGTGGATATGAAATTACTCATAAACATAATGCTTCTATCTCCCATAGGAAGCCTTGCCTGGTTTCACCAAAGAATGTAGCATCTTTGAACTGTAAAACGTATCCAAGGTAAATCATAAATTCTTGTATGCGTAATCAAACATTATTATTTATATTTTTGCAAGTCGTGTACATTTCATTAATTATTATTCTTCATTTCATATAAATTAATTTTTTTAACAGAGAATTTCACCAATGTTCATCTCTGTAGCTGTTACTCAAAAGAACCTAAAGGAAAATTCTGAATTGTCTTCTTTCTTGAGGTAAATGATAATTCATTAGTGGTGAATCGTAATCATTTGTACCCTATGCGGCATCCGTTTTTCATAACAGTTATTCCTTTTTAGTAATTTTGAGATTTCATGAATTATTAAAGAATTGGTAAATTTCTTTTTGTGCAACGGTAAACAAGATATGTTTCCTCCACCTTTCAGGAAATCTGCTCATCCAGATCCTAATGGTTGGATTCATGTAGGGCGAAAACGTTTCACTCAAAATATAGAACAGTGTTGTCAGTTGAGGTGAGATATTGTTTCTAACTTTCCAAGGACAATAAATTAGAGCTTTTATCAAGATTAATTTCTTAGGATGTGGATATGAAATTACTCATAAACATAATGCTTCTACGAGGGCTATCCAGAAAGTAGATTACGTTTTGGAATAAAAAAATAAACAAAGTATAGGAAACAAATTTTATTATATACAGATGAAAGCCACACTCAAATACTACTTTTCTACATAGTCACATACATACAAATTAAGGCATTTATCGTAGCGATGTACGAGCTTGGAAATTCCTTCGTCGAAAAATTCGGCCGCCTGCGCCTTCAACCACTTCGTTACCTCTTCTTGCAGCTGTGCGTCGTCATCAAAACGCTGCATAGCCAGCCACTTCTTCATTGCTGGGAATAGGTGGAAGTCGCTCGGTGCCAGGTCGGGACTGTACGGCGGATGAGGAAACAACTCCCACTTAAAAGATTCAAGAACTTTACGAGTGACATTTGCCGTGTGGGGCCGGGCGTTGTCGTGAATCAACAAGATCTTAGAGCTCAACATTCCTCTGCGCTTGTTTTGAATTGCTCTTCTGAGTTTTTGGAGAGTTTGCAATACCTTTGAGAGTTTATTGTCTCTTTCCAGGAAGTCCACCAAAATTACACCTTTTCTTCTGTCCCAAAAAACAGTCGCCATCATCTTCCTTGCCGACATTGTTTGCATGCATTTCTTGGGTTTTTGGGGAGAACTTGTGTGCCCCCACTGCATTGATTGCAATTTCGTTTCACAGTTCACATGTTTCACCCATGTTTCGTCACCAGTAACGATGCGATCGAGTAAAGAGTCACCATCCTTATGGTAAGCGTCCAAAAAGTTCAACGCTGCAGCCATTCGCTGATTTTTGTGGTCCTCTGTCAAGATTTTTGGAATCCATCTTGCACAAAACTTGTGGTAACCAAGCTTTTCGCTGATGATTTCGTGCAACAAACTTCGCGAAATTTGTGGAAAACTCAAAGAAAGTTCCGTTATTGTGAAATTTCGATTTTCACGGACTTTAGCATCGACTTTTTCGAGAAGTTCGGCGGCCACTATGCTGGGTCTCCCACTTCGATCTTCGTCGTGAACATTGGTTCGGCCATTTTGAAATCTTATGACCCACTGACGCACTCCACCTTCAGTGATAATGTTGTCCCCATACACTTCACGAAGCTGCCGATAGATTTCTATCGGTTTACAGTTTTTTGCAGTCAGAAACCTTATTACTGAGCGCACCTCGCAGCTCGCGGGATTTTCAATTAACGCAGACATTTCAAACCGTCACAGTATCTGAACGGAGCACAGCACGAACCTCTCACTAGCACGGCTAGATGCAGACTGAGCTGCGCAACGCTCTGACCCCAAGATGGCCGCGCTAGCCCCGCCCCTAGCGGACACAGACGGAAACGTAATCTACTTCCTGGATGGCCCTCGTATCTCCCATAGGAAGCCTTGCCTGGTTTCACCAAAGAATGTAGCATCTTTGAACTGTAAAACGTATCCAAGGTAAATCATAAATTCTTGTATGTTTAATCAAACATTATTATTTATATTTTTGCAAGTCGTGTACATTTCATTAAATTATTATTCTTCATTTCATATAAATTAATTTTTTGAACAGAGAATTTCAACAGTGTTCATTTGCTGCTGTTACTCAAAAGAACCTAAAGGAAAATTCTGAATTGTCTTCTTTCTTGAGGTAAATGATAATTCATTAGTGGTGAATCGTAATCATTTGTACCCTATGCGGCATCCGTTTTTCATAACAGTTATTCCTTTTTAGTAATTTTGAGATTTCATGAATTATTAAAGAATTGGTAAATTTCTTTTTGTGCAACGGTAAACAAGATATGTTTCCTCCACCTTTCAGGAAATCTGCTCATCCAGATCCTAATGGTTGGATTCATGTAGGGCGAAAACGTTTCACTCAAAATATAGAACAGTGTTGTCAGTTGAGGTGAGATATTGTTTCTAACTTTCCAAGGACAATAAATTAGAGCTTTTATCAAGATTAATTTCTTAGGATGTGGATATGAAATTACTCATAAACATAATGCTTCTATCTCCCATAGGAAGCCTTGCCTGGTTTCACCAAAGAAATGTAGCATCTTTGAACTGTAAAACGTATCCAAGGTAAATCATAAATTCTTGTATGCTTAATCAAACATTATTATTTATATTTTTGCAAGTCGTGTACATTTCATTAAATTATTATTCTTCATTTCATATAAATTAATTTTTTTAACAGAGAATTTCACCAATGTTCATCTGTAGCTGTTACTCAAAAGAACCTAAAGGAAAATTCTGAATTGTCTTCTTTCTTGAGGTAAATGATAATTCATTAGTGGTGAATCGTAATCATTTGTACCCTATGCGGCATCCGTTTTTCATAACAGTTATTCCTTTTTAGTAATTTTGAGATTTCATGAATTATTAAAGAATTGGTAAATTTCTTTTTGTGCAACGGTAAACAAGATATGTTTCCTCCACCTTTCAGGAAATCTGCTCATCCAGATCCTAATGGTTGGATTCATGTAGGGCGAAAACGTTTCACTCAAAATATAGAACAGTGTTGTCAGTTGAGGTGAGATATTGTTTCTAACTTTCCAAGGACAATAAATTAGAGCTTTTATCAAGATTAATTTCTTAGGATGTGGATATGAAATTACTCATAAACATAATGCTTCTACGAGGGCTATCCAGAAAGTAGATTACGTTTTGGAATAAAAAAATAAACAAAGTATAGGAAACAAATTTTATTATATACAGATGAAAGCCACACTCAAATACTACTTTTCTACATAGTCACCATACAAATTAAGGCATTTATCGTAGCGATGTACGAGCTTGGAAATTCCTTCGTCGAAAAATTCGGCCGCCTGCGCCTTCAACCACTTCGTTACCTCTTCTTGCAGCTGTGCGTCGTCATCAAAACGCTGCATAGCCAGCCACTTCTTCATTGCTGGGAATAGGTGGAAGTCGCTCGGTGCCAGGTCGGGACTGTACGGCGGATGAGGAAACAACTCCCACTTAAAAGATTCAAGAACTTTACGAGTGACATTTGCCGTGTGGGGCCGGGCGTTGTCGTGAATCAACAAGATCTTAGAGCTCAACATTCCTCTGCGCTTGTTTTGAATTGCTCTTCTGAGTTTTTGGAGAGTTTGCAATACCTTTGAGAGTTTATTGTCTCTTTCCAGGAAGTCCACCAAAATTACACCTTTTCTGTCCCAAAAAACAGTCGCCATCATCTTCCTTGCCGACATTGTTTGCATGCATTTCTTGGGTTTTTGGGGAGAACTTGTGTGCCCCCACTGCATTGATTGCAATTTCGTTTCACAGTTCACATGTTTCACCCATGTTTCGTCACCAGTAACGATGCGATCGAGTAAAGAGTCACCATCCTTATGGTAAGCGTCCAAAAAGTTCAACGCTGCAGCCATTCGCTGATTTTTGTGGTCCTCTGTCAAGATTTTTGGAATCCATCTTGCACAAAACTTGTGGTAACCAAGCTTTTCGCTGATGATTTCGTGCAAACAAACTTCGCGAAATTTGTGGAAAACTCAAAGAAAGTTCCGTTATTGTGAAATTTCGATTTTCACGGACTTTAGCATCGACTTTTTCGAGAAGTTCGGCGGCCACTATGCTGGGTCTCCCACTTCGATCTTCGTCGTGAACATTGGTTCGGCCATTTTGAAATCTTATGACCCACTGACGCACTCCACCTTCAGTGATAATGTTGTCCCCATACACTTCACGAAGCTGCCGATAGATTTCTATCGGTTTACAGTTTTTTGCAGTCAGAAACCTTATTACTGAGCGCAGCTCGCGGGATTTTCAATTAACGCAGACATTTCAAACCGTCACAGTATCTGAACGGAGCACAGCACGAACCTCTCACTAGCACGGCTAGATGCAGACTGAGCTGCGCAACGCTCTGACCCCAAGATGGCCGCGCTAGCCCCGCCCCTAGCGGACACAGACGGAAACGTAATCTACTTCCTGGATGGCCCTCGTATCTCCCATAGGAAGCCTTGCCTGGTTTCACCAAAGAATGTAGCATCTTTGAACTGTAAAACGTATCCAAGGTAAATCATAAATTCTTGTATGTTTAATCAAACATTATTATTTATATTTTTGCAAGTCGTGTACATTTCATTAAATTATTATTCTTCATTTCATATAAATTAATTTTTTGAACAGAGAATTTCAAAATTTCAACAGTGTTCATTTGCTGCTGTTACTCAAAAGAACCTAAAGGAAAATTCTGAATTGTCTTCTTTCTTGAGGTAAATGATAATTCATTAGTGGTGAATCGTAATCATTTGTACCCTATGCGGCATCCGTTTTTCATAACAGTTATTCCTTTTTAGTAATTTTGAGATTTCATGAATTATTAAAGAATTGGTAAATTTCTTTTTGTGCAACGGTAAACAAGATATGTTTCCTCCACCTTTCAGGAAATCTGCTCATCCAGATCCTAATGGTTGGATTCATGTAGGGCGAAAACGTTTCACTCAAAATATAGAACAGTGTTGTCAGTTGAGGTGAGATATTGTTTCTAACTTTCCAAGGACAATAAATTAGAGCTTTTATCAAGATTAATTTCTTAGGATGTGGATATGAAATTACTCATAAACATAATGCTTCTATCTCCCATAGGAAGCCTTGCCTGGTTTCACCAAAGAATGTAGCATCTTTGAACTGTAAAACGTATCCAAGGTAAATCATAAATTCTTGTATGCTTAATCAAACATTATTATTTATATTTTTGCAAGTCGTGTACATTTCATTAAATTATTATTCTTCATTTCATATAAATTAATTTTTTTAACAGAGAATTTCACCAATGTTCATCTGTAGCTGTTACTCAAAAGAACCTAAAGGAAAATTCTGAATTGTCTTCTTTCTTGAGGTAAATGATAATTCATTAGTGGTGAATCGTAATCATTTGTACCCTATGCGGCATCCGTTTTTCATAACAGTTATTCCTTTTTAGTAATTTTGAGATTTCATGAATTATTAAAGAATTGGTAAATTTCTTTTTGTGCAACGGTAAACAAGATATGTTTCCTCCACCTTTCAGGAAATCTGCTCATCCAGATCCTAATGGTTGGATTCATGTAGGGCGAAAACGTTTCACTCAAAATATAGAACAGTGTTGTCAGTTGAGGTGAGATATTGTTTCTAACTTTCCAAGGACAATAAATTAGAGCTTTTATCAAGATTAATTTCTTAGGATGTGGATATGAAATTACTCATAAGCATAATGCTTCTATCTCCCATAGGAAGCCTTGCCTGGTTTCACCAAAGCATGTAGCATCTTTGAACTATGAAAACGGATCCAAGGTAAATCATAAATTCTTGTATGCTTAATCAAACATTATTATTTATATTTTTGCAAGTCGTGTACATTTCATTAAATTATTATTCTTCATTTCATATAAATTAATTTTTTTAACAGAGAATTTCACCAATGTTCATCTGTAGCTGTTACTCAAAAGAACCTAAAGGAAAATTCTGAATTGTCTTCTTTCTTGAGGTAAATGATAATTCATTAGTGGTGAATCGTAATCATTTGTACCCTATGCGGCATCCATTTTTCATAACAGTTATTTCTTTTTAGTAATTTTGAGATTTCATGAATTATTAAAGAATTGGTAAATTTCTTTTTGTGCAATGGTAAACAAGATATGTTTCCTCCACCTTTCAGGAAATCTGCTCCTCCAGATCCTAATGGTTGGATTCACGTAGGGCGAAAACGTTTCACTCAAAATATAGAACAGTGTTGTCAGTTTAGGTGAGATATTGTTTCTAACTTTCCAAGGACAATAAATTAGAGCTTTTATCAAGTAACCAAACACATTTTCAGAAAAAGGGACTGAAAAATGTTGTTAGAGCTGGCATATGGGAATCCATTTTAATGGATTGATCCCAGCTGAATATTGGGCAGCTCAGTTCAATATTCAGTTTTCTGCTGATGACCCACTTAGGTCAAAGTAAGAAATATATATATATCTTAATGTAATGCAATCATTATACAGGGTGTGAATCAAAAGTTTAAAGACTTACCTTGAAATAGAAATTTATTGGACATTTAAATACAGCGGACTAAAATTCTTCAAAATATAATACTTCAGCATCAACACAGCGCGTGCCTTCCACTGTTCGTAGCCCTTCTGGAAGGCCTCGAGTGTCATGCTGTCAAGGGCTCTCGTCGAAGCCTGTTGGATGGGGTCGAATCGCTTTCCTTTTAGGACTGTCTTGATTCGGGAAAAGAGGAAAAAGTCACTTGGAGCCAAGTCGGGACTGTAGGGTGGCTGCGTCAGTGTTATCACATTGAACTTGACTCAAACGTCGGCGGGTGCATTGTCGTGGTGCAGAATCCAGACGCCGGGCGGACTCGATCCCTCAAGCGGCGGAGCACTCCAACATAAAAGTCACCTGTGACAGTCTGTCCACAAGCAACAAACCCTTGTGAATCACTCCTTGACAATTAAAAAAGCAATCAGCATGCACTTCACACGCGACTTGCTCATGCGAGCTTCTTGGGCTTCGGAGAGGAAGCAGTGTGTTATTTTGAGCTTTGATACTTCGACTCAGGATCGTACTCGTAGACCCAGGTCTCATCACCAGTCACCTTTTTCTCCAGAAGGTTCAGATCAACATTCAACCGTTGGAGCATTTCCTGGCAAACAGTCATGCATAATTTTGCATAACATCTGTATATACGCACAGAATAAACGACTTCTTTTCCAAAAGGAATTTTTTCAATGATGTTCTGTACATACATATGTATTTATCTCACATAACTAAAAAAGATTAGCCGTAGAATGTTTGTTGTATATGGGACTGCTATAGTTGTGCATCTCTCTTTTTATTGTAATTGCCAGAACCAAATGTGTATATATACACACACACCTTTACCTAGCCTTAATTTTCACAATCATTGGCCCTAGTCTATACTCCCAATTATCATTGAAATGCTTTAAATGATGAAAATAGTTGTGTTTTGGCGAATGTAAAACTTTTTTTTAAAAAATTATTTTTGACAAATAACGAAATCTATTTTAATGCGATCTCCAGCTTCCTTATGTCTGCAAAAATATCTGGGACATTTTTATACTCATTATAAAAAATGAAATTATGAGAAGTTTGACTCCCATGTGACAAAGACTGAGCAGTGTTTTAAATTTCAAAATCTGCAGTTTTTGTATAATTTAATAAGTAATGTGATGTGCACATCAGATTTTGCATATGTATTTTAGAATTTTATACTCTTTAATTTACATCTAGTAATAATGTATTAGATTGAATTAAATTGTTATAATATATGTTTCTGATGTTATTTTTATTTTAATGTTTGAATTTGTGTTGAGTCAGAATACATACGTGTAAGCATCTCAGTTAAAGGATGAAAATATGACTTTTTAAGTAAATTCAAAATAGTTTCATTCAAATAATTTTGAAACTGATAAAAAGCTTTCAGAGATTTGTAAAATAATAATAATTTGTAATTGTCTCCCGAATCCTTCTCTTGTAAACATTGTATGGTAAAAAAATCTGAAAATATTAGTATATATGATGTTTGAATATATTCAAATCAAATAGATATTTATTGAAATTGTTTTGTTCTAAAGAGTTTATGTTCATAATGTATATTTTAGCATCTATAATCAGAATTACCTAAATCAAACTTATGTTTGTTTGTCCCTTCATAATAACTGATGGGCAACAAAAATAAGCTTGTTTTAGTACCTGACAGATTGAAGGAAAACCAGCACCTGTATATCTAAGTGGGTACTTTAGGTATTGCTGGGCCTTGCTAAGTACTAAGCTTCCACCAAAATGGAATTTTGAAGAAGAATGCTCTGAATGTGGTCAGAAAGTCTCCTACCACCAACCTCTCAAGGATTTCGCCTCACCTTCTGCTTTTAATGCTCCTTGCTAAACAACCATTACACACTTACATTACAACATCCATGCCTTCTTTGGGATTTGAACTCGAACCTTTTGGTATGGTAGGCAGCGTCATTAACTACTATCCTGTCTGGGTGCTACAGCATAGTGTTGCTATAATGGAAGATGTCTTGTTCTGTGAAGACATGAAAACAATCACAAAAGAAAAAGATGCCTTTCTGCATGTGAAGGAATTCTTTGTGAAGTATGCTCTTTTGTCAATCAAAACAAAATTCAGAAATCGCTTGGATGCTCAAGCAGATATGCGAATTGCTATTAACAATAAAGTGCCACAATTTGAAAAAAAATATCCAATACAGAGGAATAGAAATAGTTATTAATTATTGTTTTGAAAAATTTATGCAAATATTAAATTTTGTAATATTTTTTTTAGTTCCATGTTTTATTTTTTTTATTATTAAAATTTGATTACATAACTGTTTTCTTTTTCCTCACCCTCCCTAGAAACTTTGTTAGGGGCTGCAAGAATATAATTTTTTAGAACTGCTAGACATGGAAAAGTTTGGGAACCTGTGTCTTAGAAGATGATATTGTGAAGTTCAGTTTTGAACTAATAAAGAATACTGTATATGTACATATAAAAAAATCTAATATCTATGTGAATATGTTTCAAACCTGTTTCTGAATATATATATATTTATTTATATTTACATAATACACTTAAAAAAAGGGAAGATAACTAAAGTTTTCATTTAATAAACTAAATATACATGCAGGAGTAGTGTTTGACCTACTCCACTCTCATGTAGACATTACTCCTGCATGTATATGCAGGAGTAGTGTTTGAGCCCAATACTGGCATATGTATATATAGGAGTGAAATCATTAAGCAACTGGGAAACAAAATAATTTTGAATTTTGCCCTTTACAACATTAAATTTTTTCCATACATCTAAAGCATTCTTAGTTATATTGCTGTCATAAAATCTGGTCTAAATTTTTGTGAAATGTAAGTTAGTACATTGCTTATACCACTTGTCCATCAGAGTTCTTATGCAATCATTGGTTGTATGCATATATTGGAGTTTAAAAAATGATTTAAAAAAACATGTAACTTCAAGTTGCGTAAGTCAGGTATAACTCTACTTGATATGGGATTAAGACCAGGAAATTAGCTAGATGCTTTTAAACATGGACTGTTTATTGTATGACATTCTAACTCGATGAAAAGGAGATTATCATTTGCTTATATTATACATTATACATATCAATAAGTGTGGTGTTAACTTATTCTGAGTCTTTACATGCGGAAAGATCTTGAATAATTCATAATAGTGCAACTTTATACCTGTTACTTGTGGTGTTTATGTTGCAGCAGTATAGGTAATTATTTCTTAGATTCGATACATAAAACCCGAAAAGACAGATTCCTGTGGTTTACACCTTTTGTTTCCTTTCTATCATCCACATCAGAGCACTTTTGGACTGACAGATTTCAAGTGTCCTTAATGTGCTTAAGCATAACAGTAAAAAATAGCTTATTTGAAGTTCGAATCTTGGCACAAGTGAGTCGGTTCTTCTGAACCATATTGATCAAGTTGCTGCATAGCAATGAATTATCTAGCATTATATTTTCAGAAAACACAAACAGTTCATTGTTCTGGTCTGGCAAAAAAAGGGGATGCAATGTCACAAAATAAGCGAAATGTAATCACAGAAAAACGCAATGAAGTTCATTCACTATGACATAAATCAACAGTGCTATGTATTAAATCGATGAAGAATTAGCAATTTAAAAAAGACTGGAAGAAAAATAATAGATCGAATAAGAAGCAGACTATATTACTTAAAATGAATGACTCGTAAAATTTCTGGGCTGGCGTAAACATTCAGGAAATGTAGTGTTAGAAGAATTAATGTGCAATTTGAGAATACAGTCAATGCGTGGGAAGGTGCAGAAAGAACGTCTATGCATACAACGTCGAATATATAATCTTTGTTTGATCAGTTGACTTATATGAAAAAACCGGTTCTTTGGAGAAATCAAACGAGAAACAGTGCTTCAAACGAAACATTTTCGTTTAAGTATAAAATTATCTCGCTAGCTAGGCGAGACGCAGTTTTCAACGAAACATGTTTCAGGTTAGGAACACTTCAGTAGTACACTGTTGGCCATTAAAATAGCAACACTGTGAAGAAAAGCAAATACAAAAAAGATATTTATTGCAAAAAGTAAACTGTATGGCATACGACGTGCAGTCTCCTCGCTGCCTCCAGACACATATACGGCCATCAGAATATCACACGCTGAACAGGGACATGTCTGAAAAGACAACATTGTGACATTCTTTTATCCAGCTTTGTCGTTTGGTGCACCAGAATCACTGTCTCTCTCTATGCTGCATTTTCAAGGGAAGCCAAAGTAGCGGTCATCGTGTTGATAGTTCACTCCGCTGCAGGGCTTAAATTTTAAAATTATAAGTGCCGGAGCCCTATGGAAGACCGCCAGCAAAGAGCAATAAAAGTAAATAAATAAATTAAATGACTATTAAACTCATTAATAATTTTAAAATTAAACAGTTAATTATAATCAAATTAATTAATAGCTATTTAATTAAAGTTTATAGATTTTATTCAATTAACAATTATTATATAATTCATTATAATTTAATTGATAATTATTAGATAATTAATTATTATTTATTGAAATAATTAAAACTAAAATAAATGTGTAAAGCGACAAATTAAAATGTCATAAGCGATTTTTAATATAATTTTATTGCTAAAAATAAAATTTTCGAGTTAAAATTTCTACGGAAATTGTTATTCAGTTACATAAAAGAATTGCCGCAGCCTTCTTATTTAGGGCTCCGGTGCACTCCGGCTAGAATTGTAATTTATCTTGAAAAATTGAGAAGTACCAGAGCTGGGCTCCGGTGCAATTTAAGCACTGCTCTGCTGCAAACGTCGAAGCACCGTACGAGCGGATACTCGGCGTACTGCAAACATACCCATTTCCTAACTAATGGTTCGTTATGTGTTTGTGCGGTTTTTTTTCAAGGCTAACCTCACAATATGTCTGTCCTCTCGAGCGTTAGTCAGGAGACGGCGTTGAGATCCTGCATGCCGTTCAGTATGACCCTCAGCAACCCATTGATTATATATTCGCATGACAGTGATTGGATGTCGAGCCAGTGCGACGGGCGATATCGCGGAACGATAATCCACACTCTCTATGGGAAACAATCCTGCCTCTACCATATTCCGACTCTTGCTGGTAAGAATTTCGTCTTAATATTTGAGGCATAACACGATATCCTGAGAAAACTCTGGCCGTACAAAGCGCGTTTCGAATGAGAAATCCACTATACAACTTTCTTTATGCAATACGTCAGATGTCTTTTCTCCCTCCTTGCATGCGCTTAAATTCTAATCCATTTGCATACCAAATCTCTTCTTCCTTTCACGTGCTTTTACCGTTCGTCGCATCATTCCTTCCTGGTGTTGCAATTTTAATGGCCAGCAGTGTAGGTGAGGACAAGCTCATTTCCCGAAAAAACAGTGTGCTTATATAAGCCTTCTCTTGTCTTACTTAAAACTGCCTGAGCAAGGTTTATTCAGTTAAGCATATCGACTAACGTGTCAACGTTCTATAACTTTGACTACTTATTTCACAGTTTTGTTTGCATTAGCTAATGAGAATGTATCCGAATACTCAATATAATCCAAATGAATAAATTCGACAGTGACTGCATTACCACTTTCATGGGAACGGACTGATCTTACTGATGCATCGTCTGACCTGAGAACCAGAATTCTGACAAGAGTGTAATACAGTTAGAACTGTATTGTTACTAAGTATTACAATAAGGCATTCAGAATCACCAAAAGGACAGACGCAGAGCTAGAATGGCAGTTTCTGGGAAGGATCGTGGGATAGCAAGAGTTACTGCAAATTAGTTGAAAGCTTCTACCATTCAGCATCACTTACCTACATACTCTAGACGTGTAGTTTTAAAAAACAGTGTTGTAAGGAAAGGTGGTTTGAATTTTCGGCGTCTGTTGCAATATCCATAACTCCTAGGCATGGAGAGCAGAACAGAACACTGGAGACGAACTCCTGCCCTGGATTAACTTTCAGAAAAAATCCTCAGATCTGCAGGAGACCATTCAGGCGGACGTAACTCACGCGGTCTCCTACGGACTTTATATATATAACATTGGACGAAAGATAACGCTCAGTCAATAAAAGTTCCAGCTTGGGTACCAGTCCGGTTTCAATGATTATATTTGATGTGTTGTTCCATCTACTAAGTGCACCAGAGGACCGAAGAGCCAATGACCCAATGAAAACGCCTCATATCTAATCATGTTGCGACCTACAGTCAATAGGCAGACAAGACAGTGCCATATGGTCCCTGCAGGTCCTGAATGGGGCCATATGGTCCTGAAACATCCTCTGAATGAACGTAGGTTCTAGTCCTGTAAAGACTGATTATACGTGGCCGAAACTGCCTATATGTATAGATCTTAGACAGTAGCTTCCCGATTTTCCGACGTAGATCCCCGGAGAGGGGGCATTGAGAGCAACGTTTATTCTGGTGTTGCGGCTGATAATTTTCGAATGTATCGGGTTAGAACTGGATCATGTTCTGCGATGAATTATGATTTTCGTTAGCTTGGGATTCATACGTGAAAGAAGATTGGCTTACCTTAATTCAGCATAGAAGTCCCAGTGAGCTGTGTACCCTTTGTCAACGTAAAACAACCATACCTCTGTATATACTGGCATTATTATCTAGGCAGCCAAATTCTATAATAACCAAATTTTTACTGATCTTTCGCAGCACTTTAAGAGCCCAATGATTTATGGACAAGATCCTGCCAACTTCTGTATTGCCAAAACTATGGCATTCGTCAGCGATCATCCTTGAGCAAGATAATAGCCAGCTGCATGCGGCCAACGCCTCCAAGGAATGTCTGTTTAATATTACAACCTCCCTTTTGCTTGCCAGATCTTCAGTTTTTTTCCCAAAAGTGATATGTATGCATGAGGCGTGTTAGGACGACAGTTACAACCATTTGACAACGCGCATAAACCTGATCAACAATTAAAAACTCTTGTCATCAAGTTTCGAAATTATGTTTCAATTTTGTTTCTGAAAGTGCTTATAGGATTGAAACCAAAGAATTGAGTTGGCACGGAAACTATTTATGTTCCGGAAATATGCTCTTCAGCCAATATGAGATCAATTATGCACGGTGACTATCGTTCTCTTGAAAGTTAACATTAGCATCTGGTGGAATAGCATCAATGAAGGAGTGTACGCAGGGCCAATGGTAGGTTCTTTGCCGCACGGTGCAGTCTTTGCTGTCTTAACTTCTGCCGCCCAGTGCCTCCCTAAATTCAAAAAAAATTGCCATCCGTAAGTGCTACCGCCCGGCTCTGAGCCTGGTCCTGAGTGAATTTGATCGGCAGTGATATTGTGGTAAGCTGTAGTGCTAATAGCTGTTTTCAGACTTATCAATGAAAACACTGTACTGCAAAGAGATATTTCCGAGAGCATAATTTCATTGCCGTCAGTGAATAGTTGTCTCTTTTACAGTTGTCTTTTTTTCAATCGTCAGGAGTTCACTTTTAGGGCTCTTGGGCCATG